AATTCAGACAGGAAAACCTTGACTGTAATACGAGAAGTAATCCCACCTGGAAAAAGAAATGTTTTATTTGTGGTAAAGAGGGGTGTTGGTCTACAAAACATCCAAATGATGAACGTCGTCGAGCACGAACTCGTTACCTCGCCCATTGTCATTATACAGGCGACATTTCAAACGACTTCGCAACTTACCTTGTCGGCTACGAAGGGCACGAAATGGCTGTTCAACAAGATGAAACCCCCAATGACTTTGAAGATGAAACTTATGCAGCTGAAACAGCAAACTATCTAATGAATCAAGCATATCTTCACCAACTTACAGGAACTAATGTCTTTAAAGAGCAAATAGACGCCCCGGCCAACCAGTTTTTTATTGAAGACCGTTACTCAAGAACTGTTTTCCAAGGTATTCTACCTGATACTGGCGCTGCCCAGGTTTCAACGGCAGGATTAGAGCAATACCTCGCACTGCAGCGAGTTGAATCATCTGTGCAACTTGACAAATCAACAGCTGGCCGAGCATCAGTCTGTTTTGGCAAAGGATCAATAGTCAACTCAATTGGCTCTACAGTGGTTAGGACACCAATCGGAGAAATAACTTTCCATGTTCTCGATACTCCAACACCATTCTTGTTATGTCTCGCCGACATGGACCGAATGGGTGTATATTTTAATAACATCACGGACGAGATCATTAGAGGAAACACCCGAATCCCGGTAATCCGAAAATGGGGACACCCCTGGTTTTTCCTCAACAGACTCGAAAGCTGTGCAGCGTTTCTTACTGAGATTGAACTTCGTCGATTACACCGCCGGTTTGGCCATCCATCTACGGATCGTCTTTGTCGTTTGTTAAGGAAAGCCGGACATGATGATGTGAACGAAAAATCGCTTGAGACCATAACCAAATTTTGTCACCAGTGTCAAATGCATAGTCCAGCTCCGAGACGATTCAAATTTACCCTGAAAGATGACCGCGAATTCAACCATGAGATCTTTGTTGACGTACTGTATATCATCGAGCGCCATGTGTTGCACGTTATTGACTCAGCAACTTCGTTTCAAGGTGCCCGATTCCTCAAATCTTTATCAAGCAAAGAAACGTGGGAGACACTCCGTATGTTATGGATTGATACATACCAAGGTCCTCCCGATATCATCACAAATGATGCCGGTACCAACTTTGCTTCTTCAGAGTTTAGGAATGAGGCCAAGATCCTTGGGATCACATGTAAACAGGTACCAACCGAGGCTCATTGGTCAATAGGAAAGTTTCACGGATCCGTAATTAGAATTTTAATACTAATTTTAATTCGTGATAAGATGAAGGGGTAGTTAATTAAAGACATCAATTTAATAATAGCTTCCCCTATACAATTAGTCGTGTAAAAAGTCATGTAAGGATATGCAAGAGAGTCATGAAGAGAAGGACAAGAACACAGCCATTAATGCGAAGATATTGGCAAGAATTGATTACGATTAATTCCGGTTGGCAAAGGCTTCTACTCTTGTATATAATAGTTCGGCGTGAGAGAGATTTACTCCTCACGCAACGTCTTCTTTATTTACCCTTTACAATACATTTGTTTATCCATCTCTTCTTCGGGAAGACCATTTATCCATTGCTCAGTTCTTCATCAGCAAGACCCACGTGTAACACCTACTGCAACTAGTTGCCCATTCATCTCTTCCTAGAGAAGACCTGTCATTCCTTTGACCCATTTAGAACCTTCAATTACCACCTAGATCTTTACTAGGCTATACAACGCACCCCGTGGAACACTATCAAACCCTCATCCCCGAGAGAAAGATAGAACGATACCACGCTCCTCTTCGCCGTGTTTTCGAGATCCTACATGCTGAGCTATATAGTACTACAAGTCCAGAAGCAATACTACAAATGGCAATCAAGGCGATTAACGATACGGCTGGACCAGATGGTCTTGTGCCAACACTTTTGGTTTTTGGCGCATATCCTCGGATGACCGTAGATTCACCACCATCCCCATCAACCTTGAGGCGAACCGAAGCAGTTCAGAAAGCCATGAAAGCCTTGCGGAAACTCAACGCCGACCGACAGATAAATGACGCTCTGAATACTAGAAACGGACCTTCAACTCACGAGATTCTTTCATTGCCTCTACAAAGTGAAGTACGCGTTTGGCGTGAGAAAGATGGCTGGCAAGGTCCCTACAAGATTATCGCGACCAACGGCCATGATGTAACTCTTGACATGGTGAATGGCCCAACAACCTTTAGATCTACGGTGGTTCAACCATACTACCGGAACTCCGGTGAACGTGAAAACTTAGAACCTCAAAATCATCTCGAAGATCAATCCACTAATGATTTTCAGCCTGAAATTCCGATTATGAAGCCTCAGCCACGCAAAAGAGGTCGTCCCTTGGGCTCAATGAACAAGTCGAAGAATGTAAGTGCGGCATACTTGACTAAAAAGGAGGAAGATGACTATGCTCTAGCTATCAAGTTGAGAAACGATGGTGTAATCACGTCACCTGAACCTCCCTTCGAAGAGTCGGATTCAAATGAGATAAATGATCTAATCAGTCGTGGTGTATTCAAATTTGAACTGTTTAATAGCAAGATCCATGGAAACCACCGAATTTTTAAATCACGAATGGTACGTGAGGTTAAAGGCAAAACAACCAAGCCCTATGAAAAGTCTCGCTTTGTAATACAAGGGTACAACGATCAAGCTAAAAGTACCATCCTGACGCAATCACCAACCATCCAGCGAATGAGCCAACGTTTGATCCTTGCTCTCGCCCCCTCATTAATGATGAAAGGAATGATCATCGCAATCAGGGATATCACACAGGCTTACCCTCAATCACATACCAATCTCTCCCGTGTCGTCTTAGCAAGCTTGCCCTCGGAACTTAAAACAAAGTACCCTGAAGGAACTATTATTCGTGTAATTAAGCCTCTGTATGGAATTGCAGAAGCAGGTGTTCACTGGTTCTCTACTTACCAAGGTCACCATAGGAAACTGCTAGACATGTCCACTTCGACATTTGATGAATGTTTTCTCATTACAAATGGAGAAATAGATAAATTTGGTATTGTGGGAATACAGACAGATGATACCCTCATGTTATGCACCAAATCTTTTTCTGCAACAGAGGAGGAGAAACTTACTGAAGCTCAATTTCGAGCAAAACCTAAGGTGATTCTATCGGCCGAAACACCTTTAGAATTCAATGGAGCAAGAATTATCTTTGAAAATGACGCAATTGTACTTAAACAGAAAGGACAGGGACTTAAACTCAACTTGGTAACTAACAAGGTGTTAGATCGAAATCAGAGGTATATTGAGCAACGTGCCCGAGGAGCGTATATTGCCTCCATATGTCAGCCCGAGGCAGCTTTCGATATGTCGGTAGCAGCACAAGCCAAAGATCCGGACGAAGTGGAATACACTGCTTTAAACCGGCGACTCAAATGGCAAATAAAGAACATACAGCGTGGATTACGTTTCGTTCCAATTAACTTGGCCACGGCTAAGATAATGGTCTTTACGGATGGATCATTTGCTAATAATAAGGACCTCAGCTCACAACTTGGATTTGTATTGATACTTGCTAATGAGGATCAAATCGGATCTAAGACCAAGGTTCGAGGTAACCTTATTCACTGGAGTTCGACAAAGTGTAAACGAGTCACCCGCAGTGTGCTAGCCTCTGAAATCTACGGAATGGTCAATGGCTTTGACATTGGTCTTACAATCGCATCTTCTTTAAAGATGATAACCGAACGTCTTAATCTTCCTGAAATGCCTCTAGTTATATGCACTGATTCTTACTCGTTATACGAGTGCTTGGTAAAGTTAGGTACTACTAAGGAGAAACGCCTAATGATTGATATTATGGCGCTTAGACAGTCTTATGAACGAAGAAAGGTTGCGGAGATTCGATGGATCAACGGGGAAGATAACCCTGCTGATGCTTTGACAAAAGTGTCACCGAATCGTGCCCTGGAACGATTCATCGATAATAATGAGTTAACGATTCGAATTGAAGGATCGGTAATAAGACCGTAATATTAGTCAGTAAGATATGGCAGACGGGGGCTTTCTATTCAGTGCTAGTTCATAAAGAAAAGATTGCCGGTGTGGGTTAATAAGCTTGGTCAAAGCTCGACGGAGAGAGTATCCATCATGACGTCAAATATTATCACGTGTTCTAATGTTAACGATTACTCTTGTATAACTTATGTAGATGATGGAAGACGTAGAGGAACACATATACATTTTTCGAATAACCAACCTGACATTTGTCGACCCTTGTGATATCACATTGTAAGACCTTCCAACAGTTTATGTATTATGTGGCATGTGTCAAAAATTTACACAAGTCCCATCATTTTATATTGAACTAACATCACCATTATGTTTCAATACCTCCCATGTTAATTTTTTTAGCAAGGCTCCCATAACACCCAGAACTCGACTAGAAGAGACAAATATAAATACATAGCTAGCCACCCGGGATACCCTTGTTTAGCTGGTCAATATGTAGCATTTATAATCTGCAATGAAATAATCATATTCCTTTAGAATGTCGAGACCTCCCGTTAAGCTCTAACGCATTCCCAAGGTCTGGAATATATGCTAGCACAAGCAAATAGGCTGCAATTTTAAATTTCGTTAACAGTCCTTCATAACTCCGCGTGCAATGGTACATATAGTACTGACAGGAAGCGCCAACTCCGATCGTAGAAACGAAGACCCAAAATTGTGTGAAGATCTGCTACGAACAGCAATGTAGAAAAAAGTCAGACCTTCCAAAATTCTCGAAGAAGGGATGATGCCGCTTCTTTTGTTACTGTAAAATAATTGGTTTTAGTTGTGGATACTGATAAATTCAGTGTCCGGAGAGTGCTGGTTATTAACAAGATTTCTCAACCAATCACCTTCAGGTTGATGTCTTTTTCTTATGTATAATTAATAACAAAAACCTGAAGATGTTGACTTTTATAAACCATCTACTCTGCTTTCAAAGGAATCTCATTAGCATTATGTTTAACAATACCTCCGGTGACAGGAAGTCTTGTTGAGCCTTCAAGCCACAAATCTATCTCGCGGGCGGATTGGCGACCCTCATTGATTCCCCTGAGTTGAGTTAGACATGCAAGCTCATAAAGAAGAAATTACTCACCAGACAATCAGGGATTGGCCTCTGCGGCAATCGCCAGCTGCAAATATACCCTCGACATTTGTGTGATACTTCCCTGCCGAAGTTTTAATATTACTCCTTGCATCCTTTTCAATGCTATCGTCTAGTACACGGGCTTCGGGTCCTAAGAATCCCATCGACAGAAGAACGAGATCAGCAGGGAAAAAATGTTCTGATCCCTCAACTTTCTTCATGTCCCAGCCTCCAGTAGCAGATTTAGTCCACTCAACACGATGAGTGTTGATACCTTTGACCTTGCCATTCCCATCGTCAACAAACTCTTGTGACATGACACAATACTCGCGGGGATCTTGTCCCATGTGTTGTTTTACTTCAGCATGGCCATAATCTACACGATATACCCTGGGCCATTGTGGCCAAGGATTATCACGGGCACGCTCTTTAGCAGGCTGGGGTAAGAGCTCAAAATTAGTCACGGACTTAGCGCCATGACGAACCGAGGTACCTATGCAATCATTTCCGGTATCGCCACCTCCAATAACAACGACATGCTTATCACGGGCAGATATATATGCCCCATCAGTAAGACCAGAGTCTAAGAGAGATTTTGTATTCGCGTGAAGAAATTCCATCGCAAAGTGAATCCCTTCCAAAGATCGGTTTTTAATGTTTAGGTCGCGGGCAACTGTGGCTCCAGTAGCTATAACAACCGCATCGTTTTTGGCCTTGAGTTCCATGAGTGATACTTCCTGCCCAACTGTGACTCCTGTTTTAAACGTTATGCCTTCAGCAGCCATAAACTCAATTCGACGGTTAACTACTTTCTTGTCGAGTTTCATATTAGGGATACCATACATGAGGAGACCGCCAGGACGATCGGATCGCTCATAGATAGTGACAGTGTGACCAGCTTTGTTAAGTTGATCAGCACAAGCGAGGCCAGCTGGACCAGAACCAACAATAGCCACACTTTTTCCCGTCCGGACACTTGGAGGATTAGGTATCATCCAACCCATGTCAAATCCACGATCAATGATGGCACACTCGATTGATTTGATACCAACGGGATCTTCATTAATACCCAGAACGCAAGCACCTTCACATGGTGCAGGGCAGACTCGACCGGTGAATTCAGGGAAGTTGTTTGTCATGAGCAATCGATTGAGTGCATCCCTCCATTGGTTCTGGAATACAAGCTCGTTCCATTTCGGGATAATATTCGAGATTGGGCATCCTGTGTCAGACTGGCAGAAGGGTACACCGCAGTCCATGCACCGTGCTGCCTGATATTTGAGTTCATCTTCGTTGAGACGACCTGAGAGCTCTGCCCAGTCACGTACTCGGGTCTTTGCAGAACGATACTTCTCTGATCTGCGCTGATATTTCATGAAACCTTTGGTCTTGTCTAGTACGAGCGACCTCTTCTTTTCAACTGCAGCATCTTCGATGGTCTCTTCAATGTCCTGAAGAGCATTAGGTTTTTTCACATGATTGTGATTTTCCCTTAAGGATGTCCCGGGAAGGATTGGGAGTTGATAAGCCGAACGCTTTGCTTCGGCAGCTTTTATGGCTTCCTCGGCTAGGACACGTTTATAGTCAACTGGTAGAACCTTTACGAATCTTGGTAATGCGCGATTGAAGTCAAGGAGGATGCGCGCAGCTAGTTCGGAGCCAGTATAATGATGATGGTCCTCAATCAAGCCACGCACATATGAAATCTCTGTTGGGTTGTCGAGTCCTGAAACCTCAACCATTTCTTGGTTTAATTTGGTCACAAAATCTTGTTGGATGTCAAGGATATAGGCAATCCCTCCGGACATACCTGCCGCGAAATTACGACCAGTACTGCCTAAGATTAAAACTCTACCACCAGTCATATATTCACATCCATGATCCCCTACTCCCTCCACGACCGCCGTTGCTCCGGAGTTTCGGACGGCAAACCTCTCAGCAGCAACGCCGCGGAAGAAGCAAATACCGCTAGTTGCACCGTATAAACATGTGTTTCCAATCAGCACATTCTCTTCTGCTTTGAAAATAGCTGTACGGGGAGGATAAATAACAAGACGACCTCCAGATAGGCCCTTACCAACGTAATCATTGGCATCACCCTCAAGTTCCAAGGTTATACCAGGGGCTAGAAATGCACCAAATGATTGTCCAGCTGATCCTTTGATGTTGACATGAATTGTATCTAGTGGAAGACCATCCTCACCATATTTCTTAGAAACTTGATATGATAGAGAAGTTCCCATGGCTCGATCGGTGTTTATGATATCACATTCGATTCGGGATGGAAGTCCTTTGTCAAGGGTCAGCTCCGCTTCAGAGATAAGTTTGTTATCTAATCGGTAGTAGAGCCTGTGATCTTGTTTTCGCACGTTAAATGTGGCGACACCAGGTCTTAACTTATGAGCCGGAGTCAGGATCAAAGAAAGATCAATATTTTGGGTTTTACTTGTTCGCAAATCCTCTCGAACTCTGAGGTACTCGGCGTGACCAACCATCTCATTAATTGTCCTGAACCCAAGTTTAGCCATAATGGCACGTAATTCGTTGGCTATGTAGTAAAAGAAGTTGATAACGTGTTCTGGTGTACCTTGAAACTTTTTACGAAGCTCTGGATCTTGAGTAGCGATACCAACTGGGCATGTATTCCTGTTAAGTAGTCAGTCAAACTTTCTCTTACAAAAGGTTTATAAGGGCTATTATACAGATGACATTTTCGCATGAATATACAACCCATTGCAATAAGAGGGGTTGTAGCAAATCCCCATTCCTCCGCACCAAGTAGACAAGCAACTGCGACATCACGACCTGTCCTAAGCTGCCCATCGGTCTGGACTACTACTCTGCCTCTCAGGTCATTTAATACCAAAGTCTGATGCGTTTCGGCCAAGCCAAGTTCCCAGGGAAGCCCAGCATATTTAATCCCAGTCCATCGAGAAGCGCCTGTTCCTCCGTCGTGGCCAGATATCAAAATGTGATCGGCTTTGGCTTTGGCCACACCCGAAGCGACTACTCCTACACCTGTCTCGGAGACAAGTTTGACGGAGACGCGAGCACGAGGGTTAGAGCACTTCAAATCGTAGATAAGTTGCTTGAGATCCTCTATACTGTAAATATCGTGGTGAGGAGGGGGGGATATTAATCCAACGCCAGGAGTGGAGTGACGGGTTCTAGCGATAGGTTTAGAAACTTTGTGACCTGGAAGTTCTCCTCCCTCGCCCGGTTTTGCTCCCTGAGCCATTTTAATCTGAAGCTCGTCAGAATCAGCCAAATAGTGAGACGTAACACCAAAGCGACCAGAGGCCACTTGCTTTATCGCGGATCGTAGGGTATCACCTCCTGGCATTACTTCTGATCTCTCGGGATCTTCGCCACCCTCACCGGTATTTGATTTTCCCCCAAGTCTGTTCATGGCAATTGCCAGAGTAGAGTGAGCTTCCATAGAAATTGAGCCATAAGACATAGCACCAGTACAGAATCGACGCACAATCTCGGTCCACGGCTCAACCTGATCAATGGGCACAGGAGTGCATTCGTCAAACTTGAAATCTAATAGACCACGAAGGGTACAAGCTTTGATTTGCTCGTACTCAGATATTGAGTAAGCTTTATACGACTTGTCATTCTTAGTACGTACGGCATCCTGTATGTTGGCTATAGAGGTAGGATCGTTGATATGAGGCTCTCCCCCGTCGCGCCAATGATATTCACCAGATTCAGTCAGTCCTTGTATACTCTTAGTATACCTTGATGAGAATCCTCTCTCGTGAAACCTAAAAGCGTCTTCGGCTATAAGTTCGAAGGTGATGCCTTTGATTCTAGTGGCTGTTCCTTTGAAACATCTCTCAACCACGGTATCATCGATTCCTAGGGCCTCAAAAATCTGAGCACCTTTGTACGAGGCGAGGGTTGAGATACCCATCTTAGACATAACTTTTAAAATACCGCCATCAGCTGAGTACTTATAATTGCGGATAATAGATTCGTCGCTCAGAGATTTTCTGATCAAGCCCTCTCGATTTAGCTTCAAAATACACTCCATGGAGAGGTAAGGGTTAATAGCATCAGCTCCATATCCAACGAGGACACACATATGATGTACTTCCCGAGCTTCGGCAGTCTCCACAACTAAAGCTGCCAAGGAACGCCACTTGTTATTAACCAAATGGTGATGAACCATTCCGCACGCTAGGAGAGCAGACACAGGCACCCGATCAACAGAGGTAGCACGGTCTGATAGTAGGATGATTTTGTCTTTATTTTCAATGGCGGCTGTTGCTTGTTTACATATTTCATCCAAGTGATTTATGTATCCTTTTATACCCTCGGATTTTGGAAATGTTAAGTCGATAATCCTAACAGTCCAGTTTTTATGGACCTTGTTAATATTCTTGAGTGAGTTCAGCTCAGGTATAGAAAGGACCGGTGTCGGCAAGAGCAGTCGACCACATTGAGAAGAGTTCATCTCGAGCAAGTTTCCCTGGGGACCAACATAACAGCTAAGTGACATTACCATGGCTTCACGGATTGGGTCTATAGGAGGATTGGTGACCTGCGCAAAGAGTTGACGAAAATATTCATACAGGAGACGGGGTGCTTTTGCCAAGCAAGCCAGGGGTGCATCGTTCCCCATTGACCCTAGAGCCTCTTTCTCGTCGGAAGCCATGGGAGCGAGCAGAAGACTGACTTGTTCGAAGGAGTATCCAAAGGCTGCAAGCATAGGATCATCTTGTATCGACGAGCTATCTGGACGAGCGGCTAGATCAAGTGAGTCAAGCTTGCATAGTTCTTCGTGTATTTTTGGAAGGGAGATGAGTTCTTTTTGGGCCCATGCCCTAAAATCTTGACGTCTAGAGACGGTCTTTTTTAATTCAGCGTCATCAATAATTCGGCCCGCAAGAGTGTCGACTAATAACATTTTTCCCGGCTGGAGCCTGCCTTTGTGCAAAACACGTTCCGGATCGACACGAATTGTCCCTACTTCTGATGCGCATATGATTCGATCGTCATCCATAATATAGTAGCGGCAAGGTCGCAGTCCATTTCTATCAAGATTTGCGCCACAGTAGCGACCATCAGCAAAGGTGAATAGGGCTGGACCATCCCAAGGTTCCATTTGGCATGCTGCCCACTCGTAGAAGCCAGCTTTTGACGGGTCCATGGAAGCATTGTCTTCCCAGGCCTCAGGAACCATGAGCATGACAGCCTCAGGTAAGGAAAGTACACCGTTGATAGTGAGAAGTTCGAGAACATTATCAAATGCTGCCGAGTCGGAACCTCCATCCTCAATGATAGGGTATAGTGACTCTAAGTCACTGCCAAATATGTTAGAAGCCATAACTCCTTCGCGAGCTCTCATCCAGTTCTTATTGCCTCGAAGCGAATTAATTTCACCTAGGAAAAATTATTAATATTGAAAAATACACGAGCGTCAGAAGTGATCATACCATTATGTGCAACCCACCTCAGGGGCTGAGCCCGATCCCATGAGGGGAAAGTATTCGTGGAAAATCGAGAGTGGACTAGAGCAAAATAGGCCTCGTAATCTGCATTTACTAAATCGTAAAAATATTGATATACTTGGACTGGCGCAAGTTGACCCTTGTAAACGATATTTTTGTTGGAAAGAGAACAGAGGTAGAACCAATTATGAAGGCCAATGGTATGAGTCGCACGCTTCCGCAGGATATATAATTGCCGTTCAAAGTGTTTTTCATCAAAGAGGTTGGGATCCGTAATCTCAGGTTCGTTTCCCTTGCCGTAGCTTGATTCGTGCACAACAAAAGGCTGTAAAATAACTGGCTCGCGAGAAGCAGCTGCAGGTCCAAGAAGTGTTGAATCTTTTGGTGGCACTCGCCAACCTAAGATTCTAAGACCTAGAGATTCTGCTATATCACAGAATTGTTTTTTAGATGTTTGCAGTATTTCTTCATCTGGTTTAAAGAAGAGATTCCCAACCGCGTACTGGCCTTGCGGAGGTAACTTAACGTCTGTCTCGCGTTCGAAGTTTTTAATGAAGAATTTGTGAGGAATAGACGTCATGACACCAGCTCCATCTCCATCCCGTACATCTGATCCGACTGCACCCCGATGGGTCATATTACATAGAAGGTTTCGAGCTATTTATCAAAAGTATTAGTTGAGCCTTATCATTTTCTTCAAAGACATACCATCGCTAACGATCTTGTGACTGGGATTGCCTTTAATGTTACTGTAAGGATTAGAGACAGTCTTGATTTCGTGAAAACTGCATTACCAGGTAAATCCAACACCACACGAGTCTTTCTCAAGGCTTGGATCGTAAAGCCCTCTAAGTGGAAGTGTATTAGCGCAACGTGGACAATATTCCAGGCCCTGAAAATTTCTCTTACTGCTTTACAGGGAGAGCTCCCGCCCAAGATTCGTTGTTATCAGCTTGGTAAACATATGGACTGTAGAGCTCGTTCTCGGCTTCAATCTGTGTTTGTCTGTCGTTGAAATCGTCTAACCTTGCCATAGCAGACAAAGACGGCGATTTCAATTTGGTCTCGGAGAAGGTGATGTACCGTTCGTTATGGTTCACTCTCGAATATATTGGTGATGAAGCCTGTAAATTACGAAGAACTGTTAGCAAAGTCAAATAATCATGTGGGTAGTACGACGATATAATTGTTCTCATAACTCATAGGTTGACTATGCACCAGCAAGCCAAACTAAGCGTAATGACAAGCCGCTAACATTTCCGGTACTAAGCATTCCTCGACATCCCATGGACTTCCAGGTCTGATCAAGCCTCGTAGTTATATCGATCGGATTGGGTGTCGGAGTTCATTTCATCGACTGGAATGCGAGGCACTGCCGTCGCAACCTGTGTTTTGGAAATTGTTCTCTTTCCTGTAAATGGGTTGAATTCTGGCTATGAGGATCAGACATACAGAGGCTGGCTACTCACGATTGATAGGCGAGTATTGTGAGTTGGTAGCAGTCAAGTGAGGAGAGATAAGTCGTAGACTTTTGAATGCAGAATGAGTGATTCCACGGAATTTATTTCTACAAGGAATTACAATGTTGGCTAGTGTGGATTTTTGCTTGGATTGCCTGACTTGACCTGATGGAGCCTAGATTGTCATAGGTCATTGTCAGGTCTGTGAGGAGCTCCGCACTCCATCTACGTCCCAAGCTTAATATCGCATTACGGAATAATATTCGAGGCAACATGAGACACTTACTCTCCCAGACATAATAAACAATTCACTTGAGCCAGCCATCTTTGACGGAACCTCGAGACGAACATCTCAACAAAGTCGACGGCGTCACTTGGAGAATGGTAACGGTTATGAACTTTCGCGACCTGGCCCTATCCGCCTGAGCATTACATGAGCAAAATGGAACGCTCGTGTGAGGGATGAAAGGTCCGGGGGGAGGGGGAGTGGGGAGGGGTCATAGTCCAAAATTGATCAAGTAATCCTTTCTTGGCTTTTGATTTTCGTAGAGACGATTTCAACTCCGGATTCTATATTCGTTAGGTTTCAGATGCACGCTACACTTACTGACGTCTTCGACTTCAACCAACTCCCTTGGTAGTGAGGATGTTCCCGTAGCGGACTTCCGATGCTCAGAAAACTTACTACGTCAGCCCACACCGCTTGTGAAAAATAACTCCTCACAATGCGCATGGCTAATTAACAATATAGACGTGTCATTTAGCAATTCAAGAAGAAATATGTTATCTGATGAGCCGATTGCCAGCGCTGAGGTAGAATGATTTCTTAGTGTGAGCCAAAATCCTAGTAGGCGGGTCTGCAAGCAGCCACGTACCGGTAGGGATCATGACCATTGTATGCTACTTCATACACAATTCCTTAGATCCCTACAAGATCTATTACAGGCCTTTAGGCTTTAGAAGACGTGAGAGCAAGCATTTTAATTTTTTATTTAAGCCCTCCCCTGGATAATTATGAAGACAGCATGCTTTCCTAATTGGCACAACGTAAACAATCGAACGAAATCATCACGCCTGCTAACGAAACTAGATAAACGACAATCAGACCAGCGGGGGTATCTCTTTCCTACGCCTAGAAACTTTGAATGCAAGACTCAACTCAAGAATGCCCATGCTGAGTATTTGTTAAACCAAAGCTTCTTTATCTTGTTACATAGACAAATCGAGGATTTATCGGGATGTTTCTAGCTCAATCTACTGGTAGGTGAGCTCGAGTGCAAATATTCACACAGTGCTTCTATTTCAGCATCAGTCGAAAACTAAGCGTCATGTGACCCGTGCGAGAAACCCTGCACCTGTGATCCTCCGAAAGTAGCATTAATCTAATTACATGTCTGATACCGCGAGATCCCTCAGGACTCTGGCCGTTAATTGGTCTTCATTTTATCCACATTGCCGAAGAAGAGGGTCACAATTTGTCCATGCCAAGACGTGGTCTATGAGATGATCAAATTTGCCACATTAGGAGTCAAGCAGTGGAAAGTTGGTAATGCCTCGATAAGAGAGAAGAATGCGAGCGGCAACGGTAGTGAGTGTGGATGCTGATTAGGCAATTTTAAGATATGAACTTTCAGGTGTTCTTATCTCACTACAAGTGTATAATCATCGAAAATTGAAGTGAGTCCATAGCCCAGCTCCTAGCTATCTACCTATGCACATTGGGTGAATGACTCATGGAATAGAACGTAGCTGCGGTTCGCTGCAAAAGTCGAGTGATTATGTGGTCTTTCAGAGGCGATTGCAATGGCCGTCTTTCCGAACCCGCCCACTTCCATGGTCGACTATTTGCGCGAGCCGCTCGCTGATTTGATGAAGCCCTCTAAACGGCTAGTAGATCAATGTGGTTGACTCGTACGAAGGAGTGGACTGCCAATGCTCACAATTTACTAGATCAGTGTTCCAAGCTAAAAGTACCTTGGCCTGCCCCGGACATCATCATACATTAGGCTCACATTTCTACTGATCTGCAGTTGTTTGCCGGTTGAGCTATCTGTTTGTTTGGGTTGATTGGCTAGGTTTGGTATTTACACAATGTATATCAGCCTCACGACGTACGGCGGATGGGCTACTTATCTACTGGCCATTACCAAATTGCCCGGGATGGTTGATGCGGCTCCCAGCATCATTAGCGCGAGCCTTATCCCACATATCTATTGCCACGATACTCGGTTGGATCTACCCCAACGCCACAGACGTGAACTTTCCCTGAATTATGCCTCAGGAGCCACTATCGCTTACCAAAGTCGGGGTCATGACTTCGGACGTACAGCTAGTAACCTGGGGTGGATCACGTCCATTGGCCACGGATCGCCCATGCCTCAGTGAGTCATCGCCGGGCCACGGAGGGCTGTGATGGAATTTGCGGACACTACTGCATCCTGCGAACGGCGGGTCGTGTATCGCTAAAACTGCCCATTCAGCTGTAGGGATCAAGGCGCATCGGCTGATCCACATCATAAGCGCTCATGTGACCATGAAATATGCCATGTTTTTTTCAATAGTCTATTCTCAGTCAGCGACTGCATGGATTATGTAGTTCATTTCTTCCTACACGCCAAGAATACTTATACTCCTTTGTTGTACCCTTTCAGCAGTAACGTCTTTGACAAGTCTTCATTCGATAGTACACACAGACTTGCCTTTTACCCTTCAAATCTCCTCTCTTCAATTAACGAAACCAAATAAACTGCCAGTGTATGGCAGCCAGGGAAAGCTACAAAAAAAGCTGAGTGCGGAGCTCTCCTAGAACCGAAGTCGAGATTGAATTTAAAGATGTAGATATCTTTTTGAAACGCTTCGACAGTCCGACCCACGAGGTCATGTTGAATGTCAGAGATGTAACGACAGTATTTTTTCTGTCGGGTAGCCTAGCCCAACGCTTTTGGGCTGTCTTGGCTCATGGAAAACACTGTAGAGTAGAGTAAAATTTAACCCCCCCCCCCCTGCCGATCCTAAGACTGTAAAGGACTGCTAAAGCGATCTTACAAGCTGTTAGTTAATGGTACTTTGTATATTAAATTTGTTCCATGTGTTCTGACAGATATTGAGGTCATGCCCTAACAATGCTATTTACTCATTGATAGATGAAAACCTCCTGACCAGTGCTGGATTGAACCACGAATATGCAGAAACTACAATAAGAGCTCACCGCTTGTGAGAAACGTCTCGGAAATGTGATGAATCTTCGTCTCCCTATTATAGGAGAGGTTCTCTATGTCGCATATAAACTTTACTCCTGGTCAAAACTCACAAAAATTACTCATTAGCTGTAAATAAAATAGGCCTTCAGGTAGTATCAAATTCCTTCGTTTTTTGATTATACATACCGAGAGATTTGTAGCCTCCGCATTACTGAGGTGCTCAGTCTGTATGATGCTAAACTGCACTAGGTTGATAATCATCTGTTACAAAAGTCTCATTCTCTTCAAATAACCTGACTAATCTAGACTCCAAGTAAGTTTGGCATAATCCAAGACTGACATTTCAGGAGATTCATCGGATGCGCACCGGGGCGCAAATTCCTCATCAGGATCGACCAGGACACATCTGAATATTTGATATATTCTCAATCTAGCTTTCCTCTTCTGTTTTGTCACGGGTTTGCTGTGTCCCAGCATCTGATCTTATCTGCGGATCGTTTCCTTTAATGAGGCCTATTAAATCACCCACTGAGGGCCTCTTCGTTTTAATTGTCCCTTCCTCCTTCGCTAAAGCGTCTCCTTTAACTGCCGCCCAAATCTTCATATTCAAATTAGAAATCCATCCAGCCTCCGGCCTCGCTCCGTCGCTACAGTATCCCATAAAGTGGAGGCCGGTCGTGCGAAAAGGACCGACACAACTGTACTCTAGCTAATATGCCAACCAACTGTCAGAGATTGAGGTGCAGAGGCACTAAAAGCCTTTATACTGATCACACTCTTGTAGTAAACGTCAGTCGTAGAGGTCTGAAGATTTTCTCGAGCCGTTAGAGGAAAAGGCGTGGCGCGAGTACGGCAAAAACTCCTTCTCAATAAAGCAAGCCATTTAATTCACTCCCTAAAATATCGTGGTGTAAGCTCATCTAATAGTCCTTTCGTTTGGCTTGGACTTGGTTGTCATCTACATCCTTCGCTCGCTGGTTGTCATGGCATCAATGCACAGTTGGCGCTGCTTGTGCTCGTTATTCATGTGGAGCGAAGGATGGAAGGTTAGTATAGACTGAAGATTAGAAGTCGACAAGTCTCGCCGGTTTAGCCGATAGGTTTGGCGTCGCTTCAGTCATAGTGACCCAAGGCAAGCGACCTCCATTGCCGGCGTGATGCAAGGGTGCAGGTAATCACACACGGTCAGTGCTTGCTGGCGGGAAGCGTTATCTGCAGTTGTCCACGTGGCATCGCTGAGGCGGGGACCCCAGTCAGAGGATGCAGTCACTTCCTAATCCCTGTATATCCAGGTCACTGTCACGATGTGGGTCACATTACATCTTAGATCATTGTCACTACGTAATACGGTGCTAGCGTGTTTGTATTTTAAAG